TATAAACTATATCTGAGAAAGACATCTAACAAATACTTCATAGGTTGCCTGACAATTTCAGTATGTCTTCAGTCTTTCAAGGCTCGTAAATTGTAAGTTGGTTTTCTTGTTTCAATTGTTTTACATTTTGTCATGTTGGTGCTTCTTATAGCTTACTATAAGGTATGGGTTGTGCTTTTTGTTGAAGGCTGTATGTTGACTTATAGTTGCTAACATCCCCATCATTTGATCTCTGGTGATAGTTGTCTCATGGCAATCATACCAAATCTGCTTATTTTTATATTGTGTGAAAAACCTAAATTCTAATGGGACAAAAATGACGCTATTGCAAACAAAGCTACCGGTAACAGTAACCTGACATCATTATGAATAAGCAATCAATCACAACACCTGAAATAACCAGTTGATTGTACAAGATAAATAAACCCAACTTTGTTTTAAATTACTTTAAACAAAACTGCTGTGCATTGTATAAAAGAGCCAAACAATTGAAGATTGTATTTGACTACTTTGGATCACAAACAAGCAGGTTATTTAATCAAGCAATAGTAAAATCAGGGAACAAATAAGTTGTCTTTGCTGTGATGTATTGATTGAAGGCGTTTAACCTCATTATCCAAATGTTTTGTTGTCATATTTGTCTTTAATTTGGCACTTGTAGATTTTTATTATACCCCCTCTTTAAAAAGTGGGGGTATACTGTTTTACCTCTGTCTGTCCGTCAGTCCGTCCATCCGTCCCATGAATATTTTTCGTCGCATCTTTCTCAGGAACTATATCATAAGGATTTCTGAAATTTGGTTTCAGGGTTTATATAAGTCAGCTTTACCTTGTGATGCGTTTTCAGATTCATCACTCAACAACTTCCTTTTAACCGAACACTTATATATTTTTACACTATTAAAATTATCCATATTTGAGTGGGGTATCATCAGTGTGCAGTAGCTCGCAGTTTCACTTGTTCAATCTAATTTCCTGACAACCAGTCACCAGTCATTTAATTTCCTCTGTGCAAATTAAGCTACAGCAATTATCTGTTTTATTTCAATTTAGTCCTGGAAGCAGTTTATCAAGGATCTACTTCACACTATTTTTCCAGCTGTTTAAATTTCCTTCTTTGGAATCTATTCTTTCGACATCTATGGGAATGGAAGTTAATCGTACCTAATGAAATGGTTTAATTTTCTTCTAGGGCTGCATCTCAAGAAGATATTGACACATTAAAGGCCTGGAAAATTGCTGGAGCTGATTTGAATGAAAGTGATTACGACAATAGAACAGCTTTACATGTGGTAAATTATTTCATTTTTAACAGAAATAGTTTCTCTCATCTCTTAAACTTTGCGGGTGAAGTGTTGGACTTTGCCAATGATGAATTTATTATTCTATCTGGTAACTAAAATTCATGTTTGTTGTCACTTTGGACAATGAAATATAATTGGGTTATTGCATTTTAAGCATTTGAAGCTTGCACATGTAAACAAATTTGATCTGATATATGCAATCACTGCATGGCATCAAATTAAGAAATAAAAAAATATTTTCTGGTGAAACTTGTACACTGAAATATGTACAAATGTTTTGAAACTTGCCAAAAAAATTGGAAGTTGGCAATTTTTCTAGCGACATATATTTGAAGGCCATGCATTGTATAGATGACCTATATTTTACACCTAACTGATTTTTGCACAGTTTAAAATCAAAGATACCTTACCAAAAAAAAAATGTAAGTGTACATCTACAATTTTTATCCCCACCTCTCCCTGTATATCAAGTTGAATTTTGGTTTCAGGTTATTTATCATGAAACTACCGGTATATGCCAAATTAGGGTTTGGACGAAGATTTTGCCGTTCACTGAACATGGAAATGTTATATTGCAAGTTGGACCTGCTATGCTGTCCTATGACACACATTCTTGATACCAATTGTTTACAGAATATCAGCTGTGTCATAATGTGATAAAATATATGCCATTGTAATATCAATGAGACAAGAACATTCAAGCATTACAAGGTCATTAAAACAGATATTTTGTGGTTACTATAATGAATGGTATGGCACGTTCCCACACCATATGGTATCCATTTAGTAAGGAAAAAAGGGATAGCAAAATCAGGCATTTGATTTATTTTTTAAAATGGGAAAGGTTGAGGTCTCAAAAAATAGTTTAACTATGCAGCATAATTATGTGCATGTCCCAAGTCAGGAACCTTGCCAGTGGTTGTTTTAGGTCATATCTTAATATATTTTCTTATTTTGGAAAAGCGTTGATGGCAGATCTGTGATAGTTTCTGTTTGATTTATTCACAGCTATTTTTACACTTTGGGTGATTAAGATCTTAATATCTTGGCATATTTTATAGATACCTGTCTGTATATTGCCCTCTGTATTTGTCTTTTGTTGTTTTTGTGTCAATGGGTTGCTGTCTCATTGATTTCTTAGATAATTAAGTTCCTAAAAATGCTGAAAAATAGAAAATCAAGCTTAAATTAAATTCAGTATTTTCCTTTGTTGTGTCCATTTTCAGTCACGTTATAATTCCCATTGAAACTTCCAACAAATGATATTGGTTTGAGGGTACCCAAATTTCACCTATTTTGACAGTTTTTTCACCTATGTTTATGTATGATCCAGTCTAAAATTCCATTCTGTGTTTATTTTGTAGATGTTTCCTTATTTACTATATAGTTCCACCAATTTAATTTTGAATGTATATTGAATCATAGAAAAATGGGTTGAGCCGACCTCCAAATGATCCATAATTCTGTAATGAGGAGTACCAAAATTGCATCCATGCTTTCATTCACATCCATAGAAATTGAATAACTGATGATTTGTTTTATTTCTCCAAATATTTACAACAATTTGACAATAGTACATGCTTACAATTCATTTTTTTCGAGCCTTCGACTTTAGTCGAAAAAGCGAGACATAGCGATCCTATATTCCGTCGGCGGCAGCGTCCACAAATATTCACTCTGTGGTTAAAGTTTTTGAAATTTTAATAACTTTCTAAAACTATCCTGGATTTCTACCAAACTTGGACAGAAGCTTGTTTATGATCATAAGATAGTATCCAGAAGTAAATTTTGTAAAAATAAAATTCCATTTTTTCCGTATTTTACTTATAAATGGACTTAGTTTTTCTGCCGGGAAATATTACATTCACTCTGTGGTTAAAGTTTTTAAAAACTTTAATAACTTTCTTAAGCTATCCTGGGTTTGTACCAAACTTGGACATAGCTTGTTTATGATCATGAGATAGTATCCAGAAGTAAATTTTGTAAAAAAATAAATCCATTTTTTCCTTATTTTATTTTTAAATGGACTTAGATTTTCTGCCAGGAAACAACACATTCACTCTGTGGTTAAAGCTTTTTAAATTTTAATAACTTTCTTATACTATTTTGGATTTGTACCAAACTTGGACAGAAGCTTGTTTATGATCAAAAGCTAGTATCTAGAAGGAAATTTTGTAAAAAAATAAATCCATTTTTTCTGTATTTTACTTTTAAATGGACTTGGATTTTCTGCCAGGAAACAACACATTCACTCTGTGGTTAAAGTTTTTTAAATTTTAATAACTTTCTTATACTATTTTGGATTTGTACCAAACTTGGACAGAAGCTTGTTTATGATCAAAAGCTAGTATCTAGAAGGAAATTTTGTTTTCTTCCAGTTAACATTACATTCAGTCTGCAGTTAAAGTTTTTAAACATTTATTAGATTCATAAACTATCCTGGATTTTTACCAAACTTGGACAGAAGCTTCTTGCAATCAAAAGATAGTATCAAGTGGAATATTTTTATTGATTTACTTCCTCATTTTTGTTGAGCCTGCGATTAACAGAAAAAGTAGGCGAGACACTGGGTTCCGCGGAACCCTTACGAATTTTTTTATAAATTGGATGCTTGTAACAGATTTTAATTGCTCATCTTTTTGTGGGCGCCGTAGATTTGACTTTTTCCAGTTAATACTTCATCTGTTCATATATACTGTGAACATTTTGTGTAAAATTTAAATATATATAGCTGTGTTGAAAATGTGTAAAATGTCAAATCATAGAAATACAATTTGTTTAGTTTCTAAGAAAACTTGTAAGATTTCCACTGCTATTTTTGCTTAATGAGTGCAATTTTGGTACTGTACATATCTAAGATAACAGAATTCTGTGAAGTAATAATAGTACTAATAATCTGTAATTTGTACATTTTCTATTTGATCCTACCCTGTACTGCCTGATATATTTTTTAGATCATGGACAGGACCTGATACTTGAAAATATTAGGCAATGACGTCATGTATAGCGCAGCAATGTCACATGTTTATAGCCATCTGCGTCAATTCATCAATGAAATGCATCCGACTTCATTCATATACGTGAAAAACTATCAAAAGGTTTTGTACCTGTAAAAATAGTTACTAACCATTTCATTTTATTTCATATTCTCAACCAAAAACATATTGTTAAGACTAAATAGAATTATGGCATTTTATATTTTTATACTGACTTCACCAGCTCGAATATCAACTTGCCTAAGCAGGCTTGCTTGACATTCTTGCTGATAAAGTCAGTATAAAAAAAATGCCATTAATCTATATTTATGTATATTTTTGTTTACCCTTTGTTAGCAATAAAGTTTTGGGTAATTGATTAAACGTAAAATTTATTAAATATTTTATTACATTTCACAGGCTGTAAGTTTAGGACATGTTGAAACTGTGAAATTTCTTCTAGACAATGGTGGATCCTGGATGTTAAATGATGCGTTCGGAAAAACGGCAGAAGAACATGCAGAGTTGTTAGGAAGAACGGAAATATTAGAATTGATTAGCAAGGCTAAAGAACAACATACGCAAGGCACATAGATTAGAACACAATATATACTGTACATCAAAATTTACATGCATGTGATAGTTTGGGAATATAATGTACTGTGAATGTATTATTGCCATTCAGTGTGGTACCAATTTTTAGTGATGTTTTATCATATCCAATGCAATACACTTTTTTAAGTTGTTAGTACAAAATTTATTTTAGTTTTCATCCAGTGCTTTCAAGAATGTGTCAAACAGTCTGCACCGTTAGCCACTAGTCTGATACCCCAGACTAGTAAAAAAATTTTGGACTAGTAAGTTTTTGCAAAACTTTGTTCAGCCACATAAGAAAATTGTTGGAATATTGGTCTTCGGACTAGAAGTCAGAAAAGATTCTGGTGCAGACTGGTCAAATTACAAGCTTTGTTGTTTGTCTTTACCCTTACATTCTTCCACAAATAATTTATGCCTATATATGTGTTCAAAGCTAAAGATCATTCAAGTCTTACAATATATTTATTTTTTTTAGTCAGTTAGTTGGATGTTGAGGTGTTTAACCTACTACACAACAGCTTAGTGCTCTAAGTCAGACAACAATATATTTATACTTAGAAATCATTATGGAGCAGATTAATAGTATTAGCTACAGTCAAACCTGCATATTTAGGTCATTCTTGGGAGAAGAGAAAAGGGACCTTATAAGAGAGGTGACCTTTGAACTGTGGTTCAAAATGTGTAGGTATTGCTATAATGGGACAAGAAGAGATTGACCTGACAAGACAAGTTTTTATACGACCGCAAAAAAATTTTGTGGTCGTATATTGGTATGACGTTGGCGTCGTCGTCGTCGTCGTCGTCGTCGTCGTCCGGCGTCGTCGTCGTCGTCCGGCGTCGTCGTCCGAATACATATTGGTTTTCGCACTCTAACTTTAGTTTAAGTGAATGGATCTTTTTGAAATTTGACCATAAGGTTAAATACCACAAAAGGAAGGTTGGGATTGATTTTGGGGGTTATGGTACCAACAGTTAAGGAATTAGGGGCCAAAAAGGGGCCAAAAATGAGCATTTTCTAGTTTCCAGACAATAACTGTGGAACGGTGTATGGATCTCTCTGAAATTATACTACAAGTTTCCATACCACAAAGGGATGGTTAGGATTTGCTTTGGGGGGTTATGGCTCAAACCGTTTAGGAATTAGGGGCAAAAAAGGGGGAAAAACAAGGTTGTCCTGGTTAATGGACAAATACTTTAGTACAAAACATAATTTAAAGCAGTGTAAGGGAGATAAATCAAATACATCATTGAAATTATCTCCCTTACACTGCTTTTAAATTATGTATAAAGTAATGGTTAATGAACAATAAAGATAATCTAAAACAGTGTAAGGGAGGTAATCCAAATACAACGTTTTGGTTACTTCCCTTACACTGCTTTTAAATTATGTTTAAAGAAATGCATATTTATAAAGGAAGACCAGTAAAAATATCTGCAAATGTTTTCATCTTTTTTTTTTACAAAAAAATCCATATGAAAGATTTGACACTATATTTTTATTAATTCTATTATAAAATAGATTAAGTTAGCACTATGGTAAATTTAAATGGGTAATTATGGTTGCCAACTCCATTGGAAATTTGAATTGAGATTATGACCATATCTTGAGGGAAAGAATTTTTTTGGGGGAAAAAGGGGGGGGGGGGGTAAAAAGAAATTGTGGGGGGCCAATTTTTTCTCATTTCAGATTTCAGAAATTAAAAAGAATTATTCTTCAAATAATTTTTTTTTTTCAAATTTCAAATATTGAAAAATTTCAAGAAGTAATCTTTAATTGCACAGTATGGCGCATTAGATTTGTAAAATCTTTGATCACATTTATTTATTTGTTATGCCGAATCTAACAGTGTATTTAGATTTTTAATTTTGGGTCCAGTTTTCAAATTGGTCTACATTAATGTCCAAAGGGTCCAAAATTAAACTTTGTTTGATTTTAGCAAAAATTGAATATATGAGGTTCTTTGATATGCTGAATCTAAACATGTATTTAGATTTTTGATTTTTGGCCCAGTTTTCAAGTTGGTCCAAATTGGGGTCCAAAATTAAACTTTGTTTGATTTCAACAAAAATTGAATATATGGGGTTCTTTGATATGCTGAATCTAACCATGTATTTAGATTTTTTATTTGTGGACCCCGTTATCTAATTGGTTCATATTGAGGTCAAAAGGGTCCAAAATTAAACTTTGTTTGATTTCATCTAAAATTGAATTATTGGGGTTCTTTGATATTCCAAATCTAACGGTGTATTTAGGTTTTTAAATTTGGGTCCTGTTTTTTAAATTGGTCTACATTGAGGTCCAAAGGGTCCAAAATTAAACTTAGTTTGATTTTGACAAAAATTGAATTCTTGGGGTTCTTTGATTTGCTGAATCTAAACATGTGTTTAGATTTTTGATTATGGGCCCAGTTTTCAAGTTGGTCCAAGGTAGGGTCCAGTATTTAAACTTTGTTTGATTTCAACAAAAATTGAATATATGAGGTTCTTTGATATGCTGAATCTAAACATGTATTTAGATTTTTGATTATGGGCCCAGTTTTCAAGTTGGTCCAAATTGGGGTCCAAAATTAAACTTTGTTTGATTTCAACAAAAATTGAATATATGAGGTTCTTTGATATGCTGAATCTAACCATGTATTTAGATTTTTTATTTATAGGCCCCGCTATCAAATTGGTTCATATTGAGGTCAAAAGGGTCCAAAATTAAACTTTGTTTGATTTCATCGAAAATTGAATTATTAGGGTTCTTTGATATGCCAAATCTATCCGTGTTTTTAGATTTTTAATTTGGGTCCTGTTTTTTAAATTGGTCTTCATTGAGGTCCAAAGGGTCCAAAATTAAACTTAGTTTGATTTTAACAAAAATTGAATTCTTGGGGTTCTTTGATATGCTGAATCTAAACATGTGTTTAGATTTTTGATTATGGGCCCAGTTTTCAAGTTGGTCCAAGTTGGAGTCCAAAATTAAACTTTTTTTGATTTCAACAAAAATTGAATATATGGGGTTCTTTGATATGCTGAATCTAACCATGAATTTAGATTTTTTATTTGTGGGCCCGGCTATCAAATTGGTTCATATTGAGGTCAAAAGGGTCCAAAATTAAACTTTGTTTGATTTCATCAAAAATTGAATTATTAGGGTTCTTTGATATTCCAAATCTAACCGTGTATTTAGATTTTTAATTTTAAGTCCCGTTTTTTAAATTGGTCTACATTAAGGTCCAAAGGGTCCAAAATTAAACTTAGTTTGATTTTAGCAAAAATTGAATTCTTGGGGTTCTTTGATATGCTGAATCTAAACATGTGTTTAGATTTTTGATTATGGGCCCAGTTTTCAAGTTTGTCTAAGTTGGGGTCCAAAATTAAACTTTGTTTGATTTTAACAAAAATTGAATATATGGGGTTATTTGATATGCTGAATCTAACCATGTATTTTGATTTTGGACATTGGACCATAATAGGTAAATTAAAAAAATTCAAGTTCTTAGACCACATTCTTTCTGTGTCAGAAACCTATGCTGTGTCAAATATTTAATAGCAATCCAAATTCAGAGCTGTATCAAGCTTGAATGTTGTGTCCATACTTGCCCCAACTGTTCAGGGTTCGACCTCTGCGGTCGTATCAAGCTGCGCCCCAGCGAAGCATTTTATTACCTTTATAGCAGGTTTGACTGTATTTAGAAATTTTATAGACATCAAAATAAAAGAGTTTGATGGTACATGTATAAGTATAGTACATTCCTTTGTTTTTATATTTAATTCAATTTTGTCTCTTGTCATGTTTAGACATACATCATTAATGTTAAGTTGAAGTGCTATTTAATCTTTATGTTTTGTATATAATTATTTTGCATCAGAATTTTAATGCTTGGTTTATACTATCAATGTCTGAACTTAATATGAATCTCAATAGATTTAATACTGTAAATTGCGAAATTAATGCATGAATTTTTTTTCAAAACCCACAACAAAATGAAATAATACTACATGGTACCTTGTTCATAGATTGCTAATAGTGAACTTCCTATATTAGGATATGTATTGTAGTGAAACCAGACTCAATGACCGCATATTTTTCAACTTAGGACCTAAAATTTTTATTATGTCTTACAGACCCTATCATTCTTTTGCAAGAAATCAAACACATATTTATATAGTTTTGCATTATTAACTTTACATGTTGTTATTGATTGTTTTCATATTTATTGTTATATACTGTTAAAAGTTGTAAGGCTTTCAAGTTAATCCGAGTGAGTATGTGTGCGAGTCTTAACTCTGAGATTATTTTATTGAATCTCACTAGAATGCTTGGCTATCAGGGTAGACGTGCCGTAGAAGGCATCTCTATAAACTGTTAATTACTGCCTGTAATAGACACTTAAAATTTCCTTTGATGAACTAAGTATGTAGGATGAATCTCTTTCTTAAGTGCACCTACACTTAAATGTTTCTTTCAAACACAAATAAATACTTTACATAAAATTGTGCTTTGTTTTTTTAATTTGTGATTTATATAATACTGTTTATTTTATATAAGATAAAGATAATTTATTAATAGTAAACATATGATTATGTAATTGAATGTTTACCTGTCATCAGCCATTTGTGCAAGAAACACAAGACATCTGTGTCATTACTTGTATTCTCTTCTACAACAGATCTAGTTTGGTATATTGTTGTATTTTAGTCCACATTTTACATGTCATACATTACTTGGTCAGGAATCAAGATATATTTTTTTTTTCAATTTTGTCTGTACATATTTATTTAAAACATATCAACTTTTAGCATTTCTAAACTTTTAAAGAAAAACTTCACAAAAAACCAAAACAGCATCCTTTTTATACCATCTTGTCATTGATATTTATATATTAGAAACAGCCAAAAAATATATTTTACTACAAGATGTCTTATACAAAGTTTTGATGTGAGTGAAATATTTCAATTTCAAATTGACCAAAAAGTATGTTTAAATTTATCCTTTTAGGTCAAGTATGTGAATGTTTACTTGGCTAGGGAGCTGCCATTTGATTTTTATGGGGGGGCTAGGATGAAAAATTTTGTCCTGCATTCTTTTTTAGATGTAATTTCTGTTCTGCCTTTTTATTTTTCACTCTATTCGGTCCTGCCTTTTTTTTTTTATTTTATCCTGACTTTTTTTTACATAAATTGTCATCCTGCCTTTTTTTTGCAAAGTGTCTCATCCTGCCTTTTTGTCGAGCCTTCCACTTTTGTCGAAAAAGTGAGACATAGCGATCCTACATTCCGTCGTCGTCGGCGTCCACAAATATTCACTCTGTGGTTAAAAATTTTGAAATTTTAATAACTTTCTTAAACTAACCTGGATTTGTACCAAACTTGGACAGAAGCTTGTTTATGATCATAAGATAGTATCCAGTAGTAAATTTAAAAAAAAAAATTCTGGGTTTTCCGTATTTTACTTATAAATGGACTTAGTTTTTCTGCCAGGAAACATTACAGTCACTCTGTGGTTAACGTTTTTGAAATTTTAATAACTTTCTTAAACTATCCTGGATTTCTACCAAACTTGGACAGAAGCTTGTTTATGATCATAAGATAGTATCCAGATGTAATTTTAGTAAAAAGAATTAATTTTTTTTCCGTATTTTACTTATAAATGGACTTAGTATTTCTGCCAGGAAACATTACATTCACTCTGTGGTTAAAGTTTTTAAAATTTTAATAACTTAAACTATCCTGGATTTGTACCAAACTTGAACAAAAGCTTGTTTATGATCAAAAGCTAGTATCTAGAAGGAAATTTTGTTAAAATTTTGTACCTGTTTTTTCGTATTTTACTTATAAATGGACTCTTCCAGTTAACATTACTTACAGCCTGCAGTTAAAGTTTTTAAAACATTTATTAGATTCATAAACTATCCTGGATTTTTACCAAACTTGGACAGAAGCTTCTTACAATCAAAAGATAGTATTGAGAGGAATATTTTTATTAATTTTTTTCCTCATTTTTGTTGAGCCTGCGATTAACAGCAAAAGTAGGCGAGACAGCGGGTTCCGCGGAACCCTTACAAATTTTTTTTTACTGCCTTTTTTTTTTACTCAAAACTCCTGTCCTGCCTATTTTTTTCAATTTTCATCCTAGCCCCCTCATAAAAATCAAATGGTAGCTCCCTTAATGATGTCACAGTGACAATACAGATGACATTTCTGCACCAAGATTCATATTATATCTTACTTTGCATTTATGAAAAATTAACATAATTGTGAATGTATTAAATATTTTTACTATTTCTGAAATTTCAAGGACTAAAAATAATGGCTTCTGTCATAAAAAATCGTCCTTTGTTGTGGCACATATGGTTAGGCTCATAAATATTGATTCCAGTAATATATATTTCAATGGGATTTTTTTTTAGTAATTTTTATTTAATCATTTTCATCATTAACAGTTGGAGTTATATAATATGAATTATTATGAGTTATGAATAATTTTGTGTGACTTTGAAATTTAATAGACATCTAATTATAGAACTAATTATATCATATGAAGCCATCTGTTGCTCATGGTTTATTGTAAGTTTTTTATACCAACAGTAATTCATGTATGAAAGAAATCAAAGAATGCATTATATATTATGCATCAGTACATTTCTCAAACTAAATGTTTAATACTGTTGATTCATTATTAAACATGGTATGCCAATTTTCCTGGATTAGTGTGTGCATAATTAAGCACAAATTTAAATAATTTAATGACAATAGAATAAGAAGAGAAACTAATTGGTTTGGCAAAATGTCTCATTTTCTACATTATTTTGTTATGTAATATTTGTTTACAAGCTTATTTTTTGATACCCCACCTACAATAGCCATTATGTTTTCCTGTCTGTGCTTTCATCAATTAGACTGAGTTGCTATGCATGCCTGGTCTGTATCAGGATAAGCATTTAGTTTAGGGTAGTTTACCATGAAGTTTTGTTCACATCAGCTTGAAACATAAATAGAAATAAGAAGATGTGGTATGAGTGCCAATGAGACAACTCTCCATCCAAGTCACAATGTGTAAAAAGTAAACAATTATAGGTCAAAGTACGGCCTTCAACACAGAGCCTTGGCTCACACCCAACAGCAAGCTATAAAGGGCCCCAAATGACTAGTGTAAAACAGTTCAAACAGGAAAACCACCGATCTAAATTATATAAAAAAACGAGAAACACTTAAGAACCACATCAACAAACAACAACCACTGAACACATATTCATTATGATGTGAACTTTTTAAAAGCATGCCAAATTAGGGTTTTGACCAAGATTTTATGGTAGAGCAAGTGGGGCATGTTGTCCTGTGAACACATGTTGTTGTTTGTATACTATATTATATTCCTTTCTGTTTTTTGAATCTCTATTAGTTTTTATTTTTAGTGCAGCTATTTATGTTGATATCATTTATTAGATAATCAAATTGTTTCATCAATATTGTGTAGAATTTTTATTCCTGGGTTCCAATTTTTGTAGAATTTACAATTATTCAGAACCTTAAATTTTAATATTTTTATTTCAATATATCCTTAAGGGTGACAATATGATTTGTCATACAGTAACACAATTATCTTATGAAATTGATTTGTTGTGAGCAATGTCTGAAACAATGCATTTAGATAGAGCTATACTTATGATTTCTCCTCAAAGCTTGAAAAGGAGAAAGAATGAGTTAAGTTCAAAAATCAAATTGTATCATAAAGCCCTATAATGGCCCCTAATTCTGGCTTAAAGTTCAAATAAGGATTTATTGTCAAATATTACAATGAATTAATGTTAAAACATTGACTAGGTAGGAAATATATCTTTTTATTGAAAATTTGAATATTAATGTTCTTTTCATGACATTACAAATGATTTTCCTCAGAAATAAATAAAAAAAATTTCCATGGGTTTTTTTACTTTTATCACCCTGTTCTTTTCTTTAAAAAATGAATCTGATTTTGAATAGACTGAAGAATTTTAATTTTAAAGGGGCTAAATGACGGCTCTTTACATACTTTCTCCTTTGAACCCAGGAATAAAAGTGCTGCTTGCATAGTATAACCATCCATAATATACTGTTAAGTTTTATGGTTTTTTATCCAGTGTTTCTGTTCAAGAATATTTTCAGTTGATAATTTATTAGGGTGCTTTTTCATGTTTTTTAACATTTTTTGCAGTGAATCATAAAAAATGAAATAAAAACATTAAAATTCATTTGTAATTTGATTTTATCTGCATGCATTACTGATTTAAGCTGTTCAGATGCATGCATGAGTGATTATATCTTCAGATGCTTGCATGAGTGATTTTATTTCCAATTGCAAGCACGAGTGATTCTATTTGTTCAGGGACATGCATGAGTAATTATATCGATTCGGTTGCATGTGTGAGACATTGTATCGTCTTAGGTGTAAGTTCTGTTAATCAATCATATTGCAATATTAAACAACTAACTGAAAAAATCCTTATCAAACTGTTAAGCTATAAGCTACATGTATTTCTATATTTTGTTTTTTGTTTGTTGTCAGTCATTCACCATCTTTTGAATGTAAAGTTGTAAAAGTGTTTCTGTTTTAAACCACCTGACCAGTTAAGAACAAATGTTGGCCTGAATTATCCAAAAGGAGCTTAATTAATAAAAAAAAAACTGTATCTGATGACCCGGTTGGCTTATCAACATGGGCTCTGTTACAAGGAGGATTCAAACATAAGGGTAACAGAGGCAAGACAGTATTTTATGCAAACCGCTTAAAATAATTATCTGATTGTTTGTTTACAGTTGGACAATAAGTAGTTGTATCAGAGTTTTGTTACTGCTGTTAGGTATTATAAATTTCATTAAAACAAGCTTTCTGCACCTTGAAGATATTTGTTGATATTTGAAATTACTCCAATTGTGTGAAGTCTCTAAAAGAGGCACCTGTCTAATAGCTCCAGACAAGTACTGTCTCATTTTCTGATAGTCATTAACAAGAAAATGAGTACAGGATTGTAGATATGATAAATAGTACATGAAGACATGAAATTTCAATGTGAGGACTTATATAACCTTTTAAGAACCCTTTTTATACGGCCGCAAAACATTTTTTGTGTTCGTATAATGGTATGATGTCGTCGTCGTCCGAAGACACATTGGTTTCCGGACAATAACTTTAATTTAAATGAATGGATCTGTATGAAATTTTTTAGGAAGGTTGGGATTGATTTTGGGGATGATGGTCCCAACCGTTTAGGAATTAGGGGCCCAAAACAAGCATTTTTTAGTTTCAGGATAATAACTTGTGTATAAGTATTTCGATTGCTCTGAAATTGTACCACAATGTTTAATACCACAAGTAGAAGGTTGGGATTCATTTTAAGGGTTATGGGGGCCGACAGTTTGGGAATTAAGGGCCAAAAACAAGCATTTTGCTAGTTTCCAGACAATAACTTGTGTGTAAGTGTATGGATCTCTCTGACATTGTACCACAAGGTTCCATATAACAAAGGGAAGGCTAGGATTGAGTTTGGGGTTAATTCCCCCAAACATGTAGGAATTAGGGGTAAAAAAAGGGCCAAAAACAAGCATTTTTCTAGTTTCCAGACAATAACTTGTGTGTAAGTGTATGGATCTCTCTGAAATTGTACTGCAAGGTTCCATACTACAAAGGAAAGGCTGGGATTGAGTTTTGGGGTTATTGCTCCAAGGGGGGTTTCAAAAAGTTGGGGAGGGGGGGTTTAAGGGATTCATATTTTTTTTTCAAAATTTTTAAAATTTAGAAATTTTGAAAAGTTTCAAGAAGAAATCTTCAATTGCACAGTATTGGGCAATGGATTTATAAGATTTTTGACCACATTTATTTTGTGTCAGAAACCTATATTATGTCAAAAATTTGATCACAATCCAAATTCACAGTATCAAGCTTGAATAATGTGTCCAAATTTGCCCCAACTGTTTAGGGTTCAACCTCTGCGGTTGTATCAGGCTGCGCTCAGCGAAGCATTTTATTTTAATTTCTTCCATAATCGGCAGCAACACCCTAAGTATCAAGGTAATCATTTAGAAAAGACAAGCTATGGAATGTTGTATCAACTGGGACATATATACATTGTACCTACAAGAATGCACATGCTGAAAAGTCTGATTTGCTTTAATGATCATGGTTGAATTTATGTTTGATAGCTGTTAAGATAAAGGTTTTACTACAGATATCACTAAAAACCATTATAAATGATCTGTGTAAATGAGGCCAAGGTCTGATGAACACTGCAAGACTGCCATAAAAACCATACACCAAAAATAGTTATTTTATTGCTTATAACAGTAGTATCTGAGAAACAAACTTACCACAAAAACTTAATGTTGACTAATGAACCATGAGGTCAGGTAAACCTTGCCAGACAAACATGTTCACCATACAATAATTAAATACACCAAATATAATTGACTTGTTGATTATAGCATCTGAGAAACAGACCTGTTTAACTAGGAAAACTGTACATTGACCATTGAAATTAGATAAAGGTCTGATGAACCTTGCCAGACAGACATGTACATCTTCGGTTTATTTTATACACCAAATATGGTTTGCATATGGGAAACAGACTGAATCATTAAAACGTAGCATTAACCAATGAACATAAAAATATGGTCAAGGTCCAATGAAACTTGCAAAACAGATATATAAGCTTTTTGACCTTTTTGAAATTTTTGGTTTTTAATGCTCAACTTCGTAATTGATTTGGCCTTTCAACTGTTTTAATTCGAGCATCACTGACTAGTCTTATGTCGACAATATGCGCATCTGGCGTACATAATTATTAGCCTGGTATCTTTGATGTGTTTTTTTATACAAATTGCAATTTTTAGATATACCAAATAAAGTTGATTTATTGCTTATAGTATCAGTGAAACATGTCAAACCAGGAAAACTTGACAGTGAACAATGTAAATGAGGTCAAGGTCAGAAGACTGCTAGACAGATATGTACACCTCACAATCATTCCATTACATCAAATATAGTAAACCTTTTGTTTTTTTGGTGGAGGAAGCCGTGTGCCAGAAGAGAACCAGGACCTTCAGCAGGAAAACTGGCAATCCTAGAAAATGAGGTAAAGATCAGAAGACTATCAGACAGTATGTACACCGAACAATCAGTCCATACACTAAATATAGTTGACACATTACATATAGTATTAGAAAAGCAGATCAAACCACAAAAACTTTATAATGACCAATAAATCATAAAAATTCGTAAGGGTTCCGCGGAACCCAGTGTCTCGCCTACTTTTGCTGTTAATCGCAGGCTCAACAAAAATGAGGAAAAAAATTAATAAAAATATTCCTTTCTATACCATCTTTTGATTGTAAGTAGCTTCTGTCCAAGTTTGGTACAAATCCAGGATAATTTATGAATCTAATAAATGTTTTAAAAACTTAAACTGCAGACTGTATGTAATGTTAACTGGAAGAAAAACTAAGTCCATTTATAAGTAAAATACGGAAAAAATTGAACAAAATTTTAACAAAATTTCCTTCTAGATACTAGCTTTTAATCATAAACAAGCTTCTGTCCAAATTTGGTACAAATCCAGGATAGTTTAAGAAAGTTGCTAAAATTTTAAAAACTTTAACCACAGAGTGAATGTAATGTTAACTGGCAGAAAAACTAAGTCCATTTATAAGTAAAATACGGAAAAAATGGAATTTTTTTTTTACAAAATTTACTTCTGGATACTATCTTTTAATTATAAACAAGCTTCTTTCCAAGTTTGGTAGAAATCCAGGATAGTTTAAGAAAGTTATTAAAATTTCAAAAACTTTAACCACAGAGTGAATGTAATGTTTCTTGGCAGAAAAACTAAGTCCATTTATAAGTAAAATACAGAAAAAATGGAATTTTTTTTTTACAAAATTTACTTTTGAATATTATCTTATGATCATAAACAAGCTTCTGTCCAAGTTTGGTAGAAATTCAGGATAGTTTAAGAAAGTTATTAAAATTTCAAAAACTTTAACCACAGAGTGAATATTTGTGGACGCCGCCGACGACTACGACGACTACGACGACGACGACGACGACGCCGACGGAATGTAGGATCGCTATGTCTCGCTTTTTCGACAAAAGTCGAAGGCTCGACAAAAATGAGGTCAAGGTCAGATGAAACCAGTCTGATGGACATGTTCAACGAAATTATCAATGCACCAAATATAGTTAACTACTGGTTATAGTTAATATTGTATCTGAGAAAACATTAATGATCCATGAAATGAGGTAAAGTTCAGTTGAACCCTGTCTGAAGGAAATGTAACCTTTGCATGGATTCCATATACCAAATACTAATATCCCCTATTACATGTCATAATTGAGAAATTCCCATAACCAAATAAAAATAGTTTTTTTAAACAGTCGCTAAAAAATGAAAATATAGTCAAAGTCAATGGACATGACAGTTTGAAACTTCTTATTATAAGGCATCTGTATATACAATGTATGAAGCATCCAGCTTTATACAAATATATACTGCCCTTCTACTGCCAAGGGATAAGAATCTCTATGTCTTTCAGTGAACTTTGTTGCAGGGGAGACCAAAAAAAAATCCCCCAAAACCAGCTACATAAATTGCTTACATCCACTTTATTTGAACTTGGGTGGATAGTTGTTTCATTGGCAATCATACCACATCTCCTTATTTTTATATGAGGCTTGGTGCATCAGAACTTTTTCAGAATTTAAAAAAAAATTTCAGCATTTTGGGCCTTGAGTGGTTGCATATAATATGAAAATATATAAATATCTAAAGCACTTTCTGGATTAACCTTCAATCAGGAACATTCAAAGTCAAATTTGACAGCCAAGGATGTATAAGTACCAAAACATGTTAAGAACTATAGCATATAACATAGTAATGCTGTAATATATTTGTTATATACCTTTTGTCTCATCTCAACATGACTTGAGTTTAACTACAGGAATATTCCAAATGTCCTTGTATATCTACCAATATATGCATGTAAAGGATAAATTCTGAAACATTTAGTGCCTACCATCATATTATTTGGTATATTAGTGCATTTTAGTGAGTCTGATTATGCACCATAGATAAGGTCACATGACACAGTTATACATATCATTAATAAATAAGGAATGTGTCTGCCCCCGCTTGCATATAACATTATAAAGGGACATAACTCAAGAACGGTAAAATTGACGTGACCCAAATTCGAACTTGATCTGAGTTTTGTGGTGATGAGCATTGTGTATAAGTTTCATAACATTTGTTTGAGGCAAACTTAAGTTAGAGAACGGAAACGAAAAATTCTGCAATTTTTCCATTTGAAAAATGGTATAACTCTAGAACAGTAAAAATGATGCCACCAAAATTCAAATCAGATCTGTGTTTTGTGGTAATTAGCATTGTGTATAAGATTCATAACATTTGGTTGAGGCAAACTTAAGTTAGAGAATGGAAACCAATTTCAAGACGTACCGACAGACAGATGGACGTACAGATGGACAAGGCTAAAACTTAATGCCCCCTCCCCTACAGCAGGGGCATAAAAAAGAAGATACCAAGTGGGCAATCAAAAACCCCAAAACATCACCAAACTCATAAACCATCAACAGATCACCAAACGCATAAACCATCAACACATCACCAAACTCATAAACCATCAACACATCACCAAACTCATAAACCCTCAACACATCACCAACCTCATAAAACCCTCAACACATCACCAAACTCATAAACCATCAACACATTACCAAACTCATAAACCATCAACACATCACCAAACTCATAAACCCTCAACACATCACCAAACTCATAAACCCTCAACATATCACCAAACTCATAAACCATCAACACATCATCAACTCATAAACCCATCACCAAATGCATAAACCATCAACACATCACCAAACTCATAAACCATCAACACATCACCAAATGCATAAACCATCAACACATCACCAAACTCATAAACCATCAACACAAATATATTCTCTAACCCTAAACTGGGCCAACATAAAACTTTTGAAATAACAACATGGTATTTAGGACAAAGCATAGACAAGACTGTCACCAGTAGAAACAACACAAACATTAATAAAATGCTCCGCTGAGTGCAGCTTGATACGACCGCAGAGGTCCAACCCTGAACAGTTGGGACAAGTATGGACACAACATTCAAGCTTGATACAGCACTAAATTTGGATTGTGATTAAATATTTGACACAGCATAGGTTTCTGACACAGAATGAATGTGGTCTAAGAACTTAAAAAATTTTAATTTACCTATCAAACCATATCATTATTATTTGCTTATATATATATATATATATATATCAGAAATAACCAATTTAAAATGGAAAATTTTAAAGAAAAAAAAGGAAAAAAAAAAATCCCCCCCCCAATTTTTTGAACCCCTTTATGATTCATCACCCCCAAACTCAATCCCAGCCTTCCCTTTGTGGTATGGTACCTTGCAGTCAATTTCAGAGAGATCCATATACTTGAACACAAGTCATTGTCTGGAAACTAGAAAAATGCTTGTTTTTTGGCCCCAAATTCCTAAACGTTTAGGGCAATTACCCCCAAACTCAAACCCAGCTTTCCCTTTGTGAAATGGAACCTTGTAGTACAATTTCATAAAGATCCATACACTTACACACAAGTTATTGTCCGGAAACTAGAAAAATGCTTGTTTTTTTTCCCCTTTTTGGCCCCTAATTCCTAAAATTGTGAGGCAATTACCCCCAAAATCAATCCCAGCCTTCCCATTCTGGTATAATACCTTGCAGTACAATTTCAGAGAGATCCATATACTTGAACACAAGTTATTGTCTGGAAACTAAAAAAATGCTTATTTTTGGCCCCTTTTTCCTAAACGTTTTGGGCAATTATCCCCAAACTCAATTCCAGCTTTCCCTTTGTGATATGGAACCTTGTAGTACAATTTCATAAAGATCCATACACTTACACACAAGTTATTGTCATGATACTAGAAAAATGCTTGTTTTTTGCCCCTTTTTTGGCCCCTAATTCCTAAAATTTTGAGGCAATTACCCCCAAAATCAATCCCAGCATTCCCTTTGTGATATGGAACCTTGAGGTACAATGTCAAGTTATGTCTGGAAGTTACAAAAATGCTTATTTTTGGCCCCTAATTCCTTAACTGTTGGTACCATAACCCCCAAAATCAATCCCAACCTTCCTTTTGTGGTATTGAACCTAATGGTAAAATTTCATAGAGATCCATTCACTTAAACTAAAATTAGAGTGCGAAAACCACGATGACGACGACGACACTAACGTCATACCAATATAAGACGACAAAATTTTTTTTGCGGTCGTATAAAAATAATATAAGACAAAATAATACACTGAAAACTTAAGTAAAAGCACCAAGAAGCCCTTCAATACAAAACAAAACTCAGGTGCTCCTGAAGGGTAGGCAGTTCCTGTTCCACTAATGGCACCTGTTGTGTTCCTCATCGATGACATTAATTAAGTATCTAGATAACGTATAAAGATAACTTATGTTTTAATAAAAAGATGATTCATATAAAACATAAATTATTTTCCCTCACGAATAAAAAAATTATAACACTTTCATCAACTCTTATAAATCAGACAATCTAGACATGACAGTTCTAAGGAAATTCATAAAAAATAATTTTAATAAATGAGTTTAAGATTTAACTATCTAAAATCCTTTGTCTATTAGCCATCTTCCTACTAATTCTACATGATTTCCTTTTAATGTCACTCTTCTTGTCACTTCAGATACTTCTGTTAATAACAGAAAGTTCATTGCACATGTTTCTTCTATGTGACTCTTCAAATCCCTTTCAAGTTGCTGAAAATATATATATCTGCAATTAGATGATTAAGTGACAACAGATACCACAAATGCATCTTCTATTAGAAGAACAGATACCCCAAATGCAACTAGCATTAAAAGAAGGCTTGCCTTATTATAGATATGACATTATTTAAATTTGAGTTATTTCCCTTGGCCAATAATAAATATTTCCATTTTTTTTTCAATCCCACTCTTCTATTTTGACCCCTTTTCCTGGAAAAAACCTATGGAAAGGTGACATTAGCACATGACAGTCATGTGTAAAATTAGATCAGACATGGAAAAATGGAATATTTAGGAACTAAAGTATTACATCCGATCTAAATTAAAGAACTTTAACTGTGGTTTTACCATTTTTTAGTTAACCCTCCAATCCTCTTATTCTTTTTCTATGCTTTGGGCCATTTTCTTTTTCTTTTTGGCAATCTGAATTTATGATTCCTTGGCATATCTGTCTTATTATTTAACATTTTTGAAAATTTGGTGCAAATTGCTTTACATATCTAATATGTATTTGATTACAAATGGATTTGTTCATTGCATGTCAACATGAAAATAAAACAGCTGTGATTTTGTTTTCCTTCTGTATCAGTAAACATACCCATATATCGCCATGAACTCTATTGATAACTGTGGTAATTTTTGTTCCACGCAGTGCTTTCTGTTTTACATAAACTGGCAAATTGTGATTCTTGTTTCTTTCTACTGTATATGGAAGATCTTTTGTTTTCTCTTCTGAAATAATATATATATATATCAACTGTCACAGCCTACACTATTTTATTCCCTTTTTTATAATCTCAAAACAAAAGTTATCATAAAATAGTATTATACACTGAATCCTTTGTAAACCAACCTGCATTGGAACTGAAGATTTACTTTGATTAAATACCGGTAGATGTTTTGTTTAATACAGAATTTTCATTGTATATCCTGATAATCCTTAATGTTTAGTGGCAAATGGAGATTCCTTAAACTTAGTCACAAATCCTACTACAAATGTTTAGAAAAAGTTTAGGTAAAATTCCAACCTGATGGTATATGGTACAAAATTTGTACATTAACAAGAGATTAAGAAGAGCCAAAATAGTTCATTATAATGGTTAAACCTTTAAGCTGTATATTACTTGTACAAATCAATTCTATGATTTCTAAGAAATAAGGTTTATCCTACAAGTTCTAATGTACAATTAAGTTCCATTGCTGTCAAATTAATTTGCAAACTTAGCAACTAAGCAAAAGGATTGAACTCGATAATTTTACAGAAATTCTGAGTTTGCCTTCTATGTTATTTGCATGATTAGTAGCCCACCTGTATTTTTCAGAACCTATCACTATTTACATGTATCAAAGTTTACAAATTAATAAATTCTGGTAGGCGGATGGGCTATCAATTTTGAAATTGGTTATATGAATTGAATTTATATTCAATTAAAGATTTCTTGCTGTTGTGTAATACACTGTGCTGTTGCGCTATACTTAGTAAATCTGTTTTCAGACTATAAACAAATAAAGTTCAATTAATTCTCAATGTCATATTAGAAATTTATGAAAATCAAAAGGGAGCTTACATCAATAGATATAAACAATTTACCAAAGTTTCATGAGAATTGCTGACAGCATTTTTGAGTTATTGTCCGAAAACTGGAAAATCGCCCCTTTTTTAATGAATAAAACCCCATAACTCAGAAATGTAAAATGTAAAATTTATAAAATTCTAAAGGGAGCTTACATCAATAGATATAAACAATTCACCAAAGTTTCATAAGAACTGCTGAAAGCATTTTTGAGTTTTTGTCCAAAAACTGGAAAATCCCCCTTTTTTTATGAATAAAACCCTGAAACTCGGAAACGTAAAATCTAAAATTTATAAAAATCAAAAGGGAGCTCATGGTCAATAGCTATAAACAATTCGTCACACAATTTCTTGCAAGTTGGTGAAAGCATTCTTGAGTTATTGTCCGAAAACTGGAAAATTCCCCTTTTTTTAATGAATAAAACCCCATAACTCGGAAACGTAAAATCTAAAATTTATAAAAAACGAAAGGGAGCTCACGTCAATAGATATAAACAATTCACCAAAGTTTTATGCAAATTGGTTAAAGCGTTTTTGAGTTTATGACCGACATGTTGACGACGGACGGACAGACGGACGGACGGACAGACAACGGTATACCATAATACGTCCCGTAAAAGGGCGTATAAAAATGTTAAGGCCTTGGACTACCATATGGCCCCAATTAGTGTCTACCCCTTTGAGCTAAATACTCACTGATAGGAGGTACCCAGCCTGATGGTGTTGGATATGAAGTATGTACAGGTAGGTCAGGAATATTTCTCCTAGGTAAAATTTTTTCAACATATTTAAACTCCTCTGTTGATTCTTCAAATTGTGTCAATGTATCCTTAGGTGGTACCTGCTCGGCAGTGTATAAGTATTTTATATTAACTTGACATAGAGCCTGAAAAAGACAACACCACCAGCTATAGCATTTATTATACAAACTGCCATATATATATTGCATGCAAAACAAATTTCTTGTTAGAGTGGTCTAAATACAGCACAAACAACAGTTTCCAAAAGACAAAAAAAGTGAAAAAGTATATTTTAACAAAACAAATGTTCTTAAACCTTCCTGACTGCCATTGGCGATTGCCAAATAATGGATCACCGATGTAATAAATGGATCTTAATTATAAATTTAATACTAAACAGAAAACAATAAACTTGCGGAAAAGATGATATACTGCAAACAAAAGATGCAAAGGTTTTTGTACACCATATCCGGATTTCAACAATTAATGTCTCTTCAGTGATGTTAGGAATCGAAACGGTATATATATACAAGTCTAAATTGAAAACAACGTTCAAACCTATGATTGCGTTGGATAAAAACCGCAATTTTTATACGTGTGCATGCATAACAAATTTCTTGGTAGAGGGGTCTAAATACAGCACAAACAACATTTTCCAAAAGACCAAAAAGTGTAAAAATTATTTTAACAAAACTCTTGGACTAACAGATCAAATAACTGATGTTCTTAAACCCTGCTGACTGCCATGGCGATTGCCAAATAAACGTATCACAAGATGTAACAAAATAGATCTTAGTTATTAATTTAATACCAAACAGAAAACAATAAACTTGCGGAAAAGATGGTATACTGCAAACATGAGGTGCAAAAATTTGTACACCATATCCGGATTTCGACAATTAATGTCTCTTCAGTGATGTTAGGAATCCAAAAGGTATTTGGTGTATATATATATAAATTACACTCCAGTGAATTAAACATGTTAACAGATACATTTTTTCTATAATTTGGAACAAATGTGTATTAAATCAAAATTGAGTGCTTCCTTCTTTGTAATAGGACACTAAATCTGTGTATATCTGCATCATGTGCATGAATTTTTTGTGCTATTTAAAAAATATATCTTTGACCTATCCTATACAGACAAGAAAGCACTCTATAATAATATTATATAGTCATTGTAACAGTCTAAACATTAAACATGGTGAACAGTCTAGGGCTTAAGGCTTGAAGATTGGCCTAATATTTAATCTAAAAAGCCTTTTCAAGGGACCTTGGGGACCAAGTGGTCTAAGTAGTTCATGATCATCTACATTGCCCCATGTCTGCAAATACTGAGGTTATGAGTTCAAACCTTGCTTGCAGATGTTCACTCAGGGAATAAAGCATTAATCAATAGAAAAACAAATATGACAGACATGAACCAACGACAACCACTGAACAACCACTGAACTACAGGCTCCTGACTCAGGACAGGCACATAAAGATTATGGCGGGGTTAAACATGTTTGTAACAGTGGAGGGCTTTGGTAGTGCCCTCGTGTGCAAGTACGCACGAAGAGGATTAAGTAAGTAAGTAAAACATGTTTGTGAGCACTCAACCCTCACCTAACCCTAGACAGTGGTGTAACAACTAATAAAAAAAATCATGTATTTCAAGTTAAAATATCAATCAGTACACATCCAACATCCAATGGATTTAGTGTAAAGACATCATTAACAGTCAGAGAAAAACATGACCTTATGTAATGCCAAAATAAAGGTATCGACAGGTTGTTGTACAATGAAAGTGCATATGTGTAAAACAATAATATTTATTATGGTTTTAATTCACTGATTACAAAATCAATATTTATAACAATAAAAACAATATTCAAAGATCTGATTACAGTGTTGAATTGGTAATCTTTTAGAAAAAGTTTATTTAATCTTGATGTACTAGTTGGATTATTTTCTACATGACAGATGCACAGTGTAACAATGTCCATTGAATATGTCACTGTACCATATCAAGATCAAGATCCCCTTGCACGAGTCACAAAACTATTCTTGAATAATTTTCTGATTGCTTTCAGAATCCCTTTTCAAGTCCTATCAATTCTATATAGTAAAATTTTTACCATCTACCACAACAAAAACTTGTGAATTTTACGTCTACCACATCATACTGTAAACTTGAAGCTAGTAAGAACTGAAAAGATGACACATTGTCAATTCAAAATCGTTACAATTTTGGAAAAATCTTACCTTTAATTGTAGTTATAGATCATTTTTGTCACAAAATCCACTTTAAAACCAACAATATTGTTTTCAGTTTTTCAAATAACTGATTTTCTGTTGACATTGACAATCACTATCCAGAATATTTTTCTTTTACAATTTTTTCTTTAGTTTTCGTTTGCAATAGGAGAAACGTCATATTAAGCATGTTAAGGTCAGAGAGAACACAATGTAAAATTGCCATTCTCCAAAGTGACAATATCAAATATTTTACAAAATGGATCTCTAACATTCTAAGATCTGTTAAAGTTAAGATGTTTTTAAACAAACTCCATATGGAAAACATATCTTCTTTTCAGTTTTCACCTGCTTTAGGTGTGTAGAATGATGCTGTAGGTGTAAAATGCACAGGATTAAGTTTTTGGATTAGCTTTGTATCTTAGAAAATAAATGATTTGAAATATTGTGTATGTGAACATTTTATATGCATCTGACAAAATGATTCAAATATTGTCATAGATGAGGAATCTTAATGTGTAATTGTTTTGTTATAAATAAGGCTGTTACAGTTCTAGTTATCTCAGTTGTATTCTTTCACATTTTTATGTCGGTGTCTTTTATAACACAGTGTTCTCCCCAGGATTTTTGGATAGCACCAGGGTAACGCGTGTGGACTTCTTGGTGAAATATTTCATGCAATCAGTTGTGTCGCGTCGCGTCGCTTAGCTCTAGTTACTGTAGTTTTTATGTCTCTTGTTTTGTTTTAACACTGTGGTACTGTGTTATGTAGACATTGATTCAGAAAACTATTGGTAGAAAAGAAGTAAATAAAAAAAACAGTTTGTATACTTTAATATTTTTTTAAAATAAATAAATTATGATTCATAATAAAATATTCATCTGAATTTAAAGTAATTAAATCTTTTATAAAATCCAAAATCAATAAAAATAAAATATCATTCAAAAGAGAACAAAATTGTTCAATTAATTTAAAAAACTTTCTAGTTTCTAGAAAAAAAGTTGTTGTATGTGAAAGGATTCCTGTCATAAGAAGATATAAAATTAACAAGAACAATTGCAAATATTGTTTTATTATTTGAACCAGTTTCTATCTTAGATTTTAATAAAAAGAAATTTTTCATAAATTTTAGAACATTTTGCCATAGGTTTCATGTAAATATTTACCTTTCTTGTCTTTGGTGATAATCAAACATAGATACAGACTTAATACTGCCCTAAAATCTAAATCTTTATTTGTCATGAACCATTTAAAAAGAATTCCTCAATCTAAAATTTATCTTTGGTCTATAGATCTATAAGTAACCATATTCAATGTCAACAACTAAGTCTCCCTATTTTCCCGCCTAAATGACAGGAAGTAGATATAAATAGATTTAACATGTGCTTATGGATAAAATTTGCAAGATTACTTCTGTTATTCATTAATTATGGATATAGATATCCAGTTTGAAGGTACAGTCATGCATTTTATTTATAAAATATAATAGATTGCAATTAATTGTAAATAAACTTGAATATTCTACGTGAACTAACTGGGTCATGTGATATGTACAGACAGTTTGAAACCCGACTTTCATGCAATAGCAATGTCATAATTAAAGATAATATTGGCCATGGTTTAATCAGAGACATATAATACAAGAATTGGGAAATGTATAGTTGTCCATTATACGTAATGAGCCACCATTATGATGTACAAAAAATGTTCCTATCGGGTCAAGACACTGTTTGTGTACAAAGTATTTGCCGACTTGTCACAGGTCAGTGCTTGGGTGGAGAGTGAAGCCATAAAATAGTTATCTGTGATCATAAAGTTATGAACTCTTAATTAAAACACAAAAGAATCATGTTACAAGTGTTAATTACATCGATTAAATCCAATCAACAAGGTAAACCTCATAAGGTAAGTCGATCACGTGGTGTAAACAATCTGTGTTGAACTGGTTTGAACTGGTCAAATTTCACCTGGAATTTTATACCGCACGGAAAAGATTTAACAAGTCGTTTAAAACTTTACCGATTTACGATTTTTTAACTGAAAATTTTAGCACCACGGAGAAAAATTATACATCGCGGTAAGAACGATACCACCACGGTAAAAAATTATACATCGCGGGCCCGCGGTCCTTTAAGGGCCTGGGGAGAACACTGTAACATATGTACAACCTTTACAGTATGGGTTTATCTCATTGTTGAAGGCCATACAGTTACATATTATTGCTTAATTGATACATCCACTTCATTTGAACTTTGGTGGATAGTTGTCTCATTGGCATTCATACCACATCTCCTTATTTTTATAGGTATCGGGTCCGTTCGCGCCCAATACACGTTCGCACCCTACACGTTCGCACCCCACACGTTCGCCCCCTAGGTCCGTTCGCACCCTACACGTTCGCATCCTTTTTTTATTCAAAAACCTGATAAATTTTTAGATGTTTTGTAAAATATTTTTATTTTCATAAATAAAAATTCGGGAATTTTTAAATGAAATATTGTTTTAAATTGATTTGATGATTAATTATTAAATGTTAATTATGTATGATTACTGCTAATTGGTATTTATACACAGCCTAATATGATGTTATTGTTGGGTGTTTAAAAATCATGATTGTTGTCATGGTTGTTTTAACTTGCTTTAAATGTAAATACTGCATGTATTTAGCTTGGTATGAGTAAAACTTTGAAGATTTTAAATAAAAAACATGAAAGATAATTGTTTTTAACAGCTTGGCTCCTTTGATCTCATGTGTGTCAGAATCTCACTTTATTCATAAACAATGAAAAAAAATATTTATAGCAATACACTATCCAAAACATGATTACGAATTATTCAACATATAAAAAAAAAACGTTGTCAGAATCCCATTTCCTTTTGAAACAATAAAAAAGAAATATTTATAGCAATACACTAACCAAAACATGATTAAGATTTTATCAACACCTAAAATAACGTTGTCAGAATCTCACTTTATTTAGAAACAATGAAAAAAAATAATTTATATATATATATATATATATTTGTTTTACATGCACACGTATAAAAATTGGGGTTTTTATCCAACGCAATCATAGGTTTGAACGTTGTTTTCAATTTAGACTTGTATATATATAGATATATATAGAGTAATACACTTACCTAAACATGATTAAAAATTATTCAACACAAAACTAAAATACTGGTCGTCAGAATCTCACTTAATTTAAAAACAATGAAAAAAAAATGTTAATAGCAATACATTTACCATTTACCATGACACAAAAAAAACCTTGTCAGAATCTCACTTTATTTAGAAACAATGAAAAAATATATATTTATAGCAATACACTTACCAAAACTCGTTTACAAATTATTAAACACAAAACCAATAAAAATTGGGCGCGAACGTGTAGGGTGCGAACGGACTTTGGGTGCGACGTGTAGGGTGCGAAAGTGAAAGGGGGGCGAACGTGCATGGGGGCGAACGGACCCAGATTCATTTTTATATAGTAAATTTCTGTAACAATATCTGCCCTAAAAGTATCTGCAAATGAGCTTTCACTTATATCATGTATATTCCATAATTATGATCTATTTACACAAAGGTGTAAATGACAGGTGATGTGGGATATATGTCAGCAAGTCGGCAGCCCAGAGATACAATAAGACAAACAGGCATTGTTAATGTTCATCATAACAAATGGACAAAAATGGCTGTGTTTACACATCAAAAACTACTCTGAGTTCAGAAAAACCTGGACAGTTGGAAAAGTTTAAAGGTCTAGCATCTACTAGATATATATATATATATAAAAGAACAACTAAAAGATGCCCATAAAAATCAAAAAAAGATTTTATCTTTCTGTACGTCAGAAACACAAAATGCATTTAACTTTTAAGTTTTATATATCTAGTGGAATCTACATGTAGGCATTAAAACTTTCCCAATTCCACAGGCTAGTCTTTGCTCAGAGTAAATTTTAAGGTGTAAACAAAGCAATTTTGTCTAATTGTTATGATGAACCTTAAAGTTAAAACCCCCAAGTCCAAGACAAGGGCAAGGGCATCACAGTAAAACAATTTCAATATTTTGGGCACGCCTTGATGATGTAAACTGTTCACTACTATATAGCAAACTATATATCTTTATTGTTTATTTCACAAACCGAGTTATGAACTGAGTAATGAGGCTGTATATTTGTGCTTTTCAAAATTCTGTATATCAGTCGAAAATTCTTCATGGAGGCTGCCATTTTGTTTTCATTAATCAGTAACGACAACTCTTTATTTATGCATTTTTCTATAGATCTACAATATTGATTGTTGTTATTGTGAATTCGATATTTGCAAAGCTTTTTATATTAGTTTTTATATAATCAGAAATTATCAAGCGCTTTTTGTTGAAGTTAAGACATCATATATAGAACTACCTAAAATATGTCTTTGGTCTCCGACAAGGGTGCATTCGATTTGTAATTGTCCTTCATATTTGTCACGGCAAAACAAGCAACAAAAGTTGTTTGATTTTAAATGCTGAAAGATATTGATGTAAGAAATGATTTGGTAAACAACTTCATTTTTTTTTTAAAAGTATAAATAATTTTACTATTTTTATTGATCCTGAGACTACTATAAAGTAAAATCACAAAAAATGGAAAAATACTGAACTCCGAGGAAAATTCAAAAAGGAAAGTCCATAATCAAATGGCAAAATCAAAAGATCAAATGAATGGATAACAACTGTCATATTCCTGACTTGGTACAGGCATTTTCTTATGTAGAAAACACACATAAGATATATACAGTAGTCTCAGATTGATCTCATATTTTTTAATTTTTCAATTTTCAATACATTATACGTTTTAGCAAATAGAATAACCATATGATATAAATAAGAATATTTCTCATTGCTAGTGTTTTAATGTTTCCATGAGAACTATATATGTTTGAATGTTTGGCTTTGTGATAGTTTGTGGTTTATGTATAGCAATTATTTGAAAATTGTCACTAGCTTTTTTTTAGAGCAACACAGCTAGTTTCACCAGTGGAACAGGAAACACTTATTATTCAGCAGCAGCTGAGTTTACATTCAATGTTTTGATAGATTTGTGTTGATCAATCCTAAATTTTCTATGTAGTGTTTAATGGTTTATTGTTCGTCATTTTGTGTTTTTTATTGGCCACAATTACAATAATCTGCTGTTAAATAACTGCAAGTCTAGTACCTAATGATATATGATCATATATTTAAAAGAAACTAGGCTGAGTATATGTCAATAAGACAGCAGCCCATCAATACAATAAATGCCCCCAAAAAATGAATAAAAAAGATCAAGGTATATGTACTACCTTGAACATAAGACATGTGTTTATTCTGTTCTTCAACCTGTAAATTGCCCAAAATCTTGACCTTCTATGTGTATATAAAAAGACTATGATAAGATATGCAAGTAGCAGTATATTTAAAAAAAATAATGTTTTTTTTTATTTAAGGATAAAAAGAAATCCCTGTTGAGATTCATGACTGGAAATGTAATTAAGGCACAGATGTGCGGTGTGCGGTGTGGTTAAGTATTTTTTTATTTAGTTTTTTTTTTAGGGGACATCCCTCTCCCATTTTTATATGTGTCTTTCTTTTATTGTTTATGCCATAATTTATTTGGGGTAATTTGTTTTACACTATTAAAGAACTTTATTGTCATTGTTTTCACTTTCTTCAGTAGGATTGTACTGGCAATGTTCCTCAGGACAAAATGAAAATTTTTGGCTGACTTGGCGAGAAAATATAAAGATAAATGGCATAATGCTATAATCAATATTGAAGGAATTGAAGGTAAACTTCATACTTATTTCAAATAAAGGAATAACTGAGCACACATAGATAGCAAACTTGTATTAATTTGGGAAGAGGATAATTAACAATATATTAGGTTCAATAGTGAATGGTATATCTTCACCATTTTTGTGCTGTACTGAATATTACCAGAGACATGTGTATATATGTCTCTGATATTACTTAAAAAAAGGGGATGTCACAGGTGTGCTAATTTCCCAAATCCTTTTTTTTTTATAATTTTTTCTCCCACATCCAACGTTTTCCTTACTTTTTCCAAGATCCCGTTTTACCACTATATCCCATCGGCCACATTCACATTTTTTTAACCTCTTTTTTAATATCCAACATCATCACAAGATCAAGATAAAGATAAAATGTTATGTACCTGTTTGATATTCCTAGAGGACATGTGATAAGATTAAATGAAATATGAATTTAATCTGTAGATAATTGGTTTATATACTACAGTGTTATTTTGATTTATTCCTCTATTTCCTTCCTTTTTTCATAAGGTCAGAGCGCTCGAGATGTTTTTTAGAACTACCCTATGAGATTGACCTCAAGGTCAAAGTACATGAAGAATATGGCGGCTCGTCTTACGATAATAGACAAAGGTGTATGAAAATGGATTTACAAGAAAAAGAATGAATCAAATGTCTTAGGAATACTTGTTTTTATCATTATTTTTTCGAAAAATTTACAGTTCAAATAATTACAACGTTATTTTAATTCGTATGGCTCAATTAACAGGGCGATTCTGTGCCAAAGCGACAGGAGAGTACAAAACAACACCAGGTTTGGTGATTGTTTTGAACGCGATAAGGTTGATTAGGAACTCTGTTAATGCCTAGTACATTCTCTTGTCCCCAGTGTTCGATGGCATCGAACAAAAACAATGCTTACAACCGAGTTCAGACGACGAGTAGCCGTTTATGGACAGCTGTTTTTGATTATGAAGCCAGGCGTGAAGATGAATTAACTCTAAGAAGGGGTACACTAGTGGAAGTTTTATCAACAGATTCTCATATATCAGGAGATGAGGGTTGGTGGACAGGTAGGGTGGGTAATAAAGTGGGAATTTTCCCAAGTAACTTTGTTGCAATTGACATTAACAGCAGTGTTGCTAGTGGACTCCATAACAAATTTCCATCGAATCGACCATTTGAAATCGATTTCAATGAACTGCAGTTGGAAGAAGTTATTGGTGTTGGTGGGTTTGGAAAAGTGTATCGTGGAATATGGAACGGGGAAGAAGTTGCTGTCAAAGCTGCCAGACAAGATCCAGATGAACCAGTTATTTCTACAATCGAAAGTGTTCGACAAGAGGCTAAAGTCTTTTGGTTACTTGATCACATTAACATTGCTGCTTTGAAAGGAGTCTGTTTAAAAGAACCAAATTTATGTTTAGTTATAGAATATGCAGCAGGTGGATCCTTGAATAGAATATTATATGGCAGAAGAATCCCACCTGATGTTCTTGTTGACTGGGCTATTCAGATTGCTAGGGGAATGAACTATTTACATGAGGAATCCCCCATTCCTCTTATACATCGTGACCTCAAATCAAGCAATAGTAAGTATGAAGATGTTTTTGATTAATTTTTTTTTAGTTGGAAATGTTGGAGTAACATAGAATCTTTTAAAATTGTCACTTTACCACCCAGGATCAAACCTGGGACCACTGGCCCAGAATGCCATGACCACTGCTCTTCCAATGCAGCTGAGCTACATACATGTATCAACTTGTAATGGAGATTGTGGAAGGTTGTAAATTCATTAGCTTGAGGTGAAGGGAAACATTGTACCTACATTTTGTACATGCACATGATGCAGTGCTGTAAAATGTTGATGTAAAGTTTATAGGTATTTCTTTCCTCTTCAAACATCTCAAACATTATTTCCCCATATCTCTCCCTATTGTTACATTTGTTTGTCCTGTTGACTAGAATTTCCTACATTTATATATATATATATATATACATAATCACTCTAAATATCAGCACAACAATGTTAAATCTGCAAATTTGCAGAAGCAAATTTTTGTTCTTCCCTCGCCGGGATTCGAACTCATGCTATTGAGATATCGAGACAACACCTCCTGCACTGTGTCCAGCGCTCTAGACCACTCAGCCACCTAGACTGAACTAAAAATTCAGCTTTCGGTGGCCTAGTTTTACCTTTCCTCGTCAGTAGAATCTAGAGTTGTAACACAGTACATGATATATTAGGCATGAAGATGGAATTGATTGCAGATTAGCTAAAATATCTATCGTAAATGATCGTAAGATAGTCACACAAATAATTATTTTGATAAGTAGGTCTAAACAAGTGACAACTCTACGATAGATCCATCCATTGGATCACCAGTGAAGGTGATACAGGGCTGAAAACACATATTATATTCATAATCACTCTAAATATCAGCACAACAATGTTAAATCTGCAAATTTGCGGAAGCAAATTTTTGTTCTTCCCATGCCAGGATTCAACTCATGCTATTTAGATATAGAGACAACACCGCCTGCACTGTGTCCAGTGCTCTAGACCACTCAGCCACCTAGACTGAACTAACAATTCAGCTTTCGGTGACCTAGTGTTACCTTTCCTCGTCAGTAGAATCTAGAGCTGTAACACAGTACATGATATATTAGGCATGAAGATGGAATTGATTGCAGATTTGCTAAATTATCTATCGTAAAGGATTGTAAGATACAGTACTAGTCACAGAAATGATATATATACATATTTACATGATGTATACAAATGTACATTGTGTAAATTGTACAAGGTGTATGTATGCATGTCTACACATTGTATCTTAAGATGTATTTTCCAGCATCGTGCAGTGCCAAAATTAAAGTATCCTAGTTGCATCAGATAAAAATATGAAAGCATAATACCAGTTATAAATGCATTTGCTTTTGAAAATTTTCTCCTCAATATGAAAATGTACGTAGAGATTTACTTTTGAAGAATAGAGTGTCTTTATACACCAGAATCCATATGTATTACACCAGACATTTGCCAGATAAGTCTACTTTTGGTTTTACATTTGACTTGGAGATTGAATGTACATATTTTAACACAATCTCATGAACCATAGAATACAAGTTCAATTTAGACAGTTTTGGCAACAATTCAAGACTTAATCCTCTTTATTATCTCAAAAATATTTTTTTTGTTTTTTTGTTGTTGATAACTTAAGTACCACTTGACCAAATCATTTTAAATTTTAACATGGCCCATAAACTACAGAGGAAGTTTGAATTTGACAGATTTTACGCTTACAGTACTGATCATGAGTTATGCCCCTTAGTTTTTTTAAAAATTGGATTTTTGTTTTTTTTGTTTAAAAGTAATTAAGTAGGTTATTTCCCCTTGCACACATTCATTTACATTGGACCAAAGTCATAAAGATATTACTATTTAATTACAGCTGAAATGATAATAATTGAATTCAGTAATCAAAACTTTTAAATTCCCACAAAACATTGTACATTTTTGTACAAGATTTGAACATGTTACTTCCCTGGACTCTCATTCAAAATTCCTTAGCGAGAACCCTGAATGTAAACTCTTTCGTTGACATTTTGTTTGCAACTACAGCAGCTAGAGAAAAATATAAAAATGATCAGAAGAAAAAGATCTTTGAATAAAATCAAATGACTAAATTATCAGTCCACTCCTTATACATGTAGTTGTTATTGCCCTTCAATGGTAATTTTTGACATGTTTATAACCATTTTTGTGGTTTTTTGCTAAACCTTGAAAACTATATTCATGATAATAGATAGAGAGAAACTAAAAACTGCAAAATTGATCAGCAAAAGAAGATCTTCAAATAAGTTAAATGGCTGAAATGACAGGTTAACTCCTTGAAGGAGTCATTACATGTTTTGCCTCTCCCAGAATGCAACAGCAACGACAGTGTAAACTATTTGTATAAAGCTGTAGATCTCAGTAGGCAGAAGACCTGGATGCTTCATACCTTTGATAATGATGCCTTATGATACAATTCATTAATATTGTTAAGGGCATATGGGTGAATTTTTGATAAAAGTTTGCATACAAGCTATTTTTCACCTAGTCAGTTCAAATATGTAATAAAAAATATACTTTAATTTCATGTCCTACTTTTAGAGATAAATGGTGTCATTTACTGGAAATTTCGGTTTCTTGGACATTTCTATCATTTAGAAAGACATACCTTACTTTTTTGTTTCAAAAGATAATCGCAATCGGATTTTTGTAAAACCATATGATATATCTTCTCTGGGTAACTGTGCTTTGAATTTGTGTATTAATTCTTTGGAAAAAATATATTTTTTTAAAAGTTTTATGATTGTAAAAAAAACAGAATTTTTTGCTGTATATTTTTCTAAAAAAAATCATCAGTAGATTGTTCATAAAAGTTGGCACAAATAATCTTCATACATAACCAGGCCAAATATAATATTAAAAAAAGAAGGGTCAATGTTCTCGTTTTTAAGTTAAATTAGTCTGAATGATAAAAATGATTCGAAGAATGCATCTTTTCATGATATGTCATGATCACAGTTTGATAACGTGAAAAATAATTATGTTAGCGACGTCATTACCTGGTAATGAATGATTACCTCCCCTGTAACTATCGTATGCCCTTAAAAACTATGATTTCTAGTCACATGAATTTCTCTCTCTCTGAGTTATAGGATAAATATATTTAATATATGGGATCCTTGCAAGGCTTACATGTTCTTCAGATATGATTGACCTGTCCTTGACCTCATTTCATGGATCTGTGCAGTGTTCTCCCCAGGATTTTTGGATAGCACCAGGGTAACGCGTGTGGACTGCTTGGTGAAATGATTCATACAATCAGTTGTGTCGCGTCGCGTCGCTTCGCTTAGCTATATTTCTAGTAACTGTAGTTTTTATGTCTCCTGTTTTGTTTTAATGCTGTGGTACTGTGTTATGTAGACATTGAAAATTATTGATAAAAAAGAAGTAAATCAATAAAAAGTTTGACATGTATACTTTTAATATTTTTTTAAAAATAAATAAAACATGATACATTACAAAATATTCATCTAAATTTAAAGTTATTAAATCTTTTATAAAATCAATGATCAATAAGAATAAAATATCATTCAAAAGAGAACAAAAATGTTCAATTTAAAAAACTTTCTTATTTCTAGAATGAAAGATGTTGTATTGTGAAAGGATTCCTGTCATAAGGAGATATAAAATTAACAAGAATAAATATTGTATTATTATTTGAACCAGTATCTCTCTTAAATTTTAATAAAAAGAAATTTTTCATAAATTTCAAAGCATTTTGCCTTAGATTTCATGTAAATATTAACTTTTCTTGTCTTTAGTGATAATCAAACATAGATACAGACTTAATACTGCACTGAAATCTAAATCTTTTTTTGTCATGATCCACTTAAAAAGAATTCCTAAATCAATAAATTTATCCTAGTTCTATAGATCTATAAGTAACCCTATTCAATGTCAACAACTAAGTCTCCCTATTTTCCCGCCTAAATGACAGGAAGTAGATATAAATAGATTTAACATGTGCTTATGGATAAAATTTGCAAATCACTTCTGTTATTCATTAATTATCATATGGATATAGATATCCAGTTTGAAGGTACAGTCATGCATTTTATTTATAAAATAGAATAGTTTGCAGTTAATTGTAAATAAATCTTGGGTATTCTATGTGAACTAACTGGGTCATGTGATCCGTCCCCTTTGAATTACTTGTTGACAGATACTATGATAGTTTGAAACCGGAATATCATGCAATATAAACTATGTCAAAATTAAAGATAATTTGGCCATGGTTTAATCAGAGACCTATAATACTATTATATAAGTATTGAGAAGTGTATAATGGTCAATTATACGTAATGAGCCAACTTTATAATGTACAAAATGTGTACCGTCGTGTGTACAACTAACGGGTCAAAACGGTTTGTGTACAAAGTATTTGCCGACTTGTCAGGTGGTGAGTGATCCCGAAGCCATAAAGTAGTTATCTACGATCTTAAAGTTATGATCTCTTAATTAAAACACAAAAGAATAATTTTACAAGTGTTAATTACATCGATTAAATCCAATCAACAAAGGTTAACCTCATAAAGGTAAATCGATCACGTGGTGTAAACAATCTTAACTGGTTTGAACTGGTCAAATTTCACCTGGAATTTTATACCGCACGGAAAAGATTTAACAAGTCGTTTAAAACTTTACCGATTTTCGATTTTTTAACTAAAAATTTTAGCACCACGGAGAAATATAATACATCGCGGTAAGAACGATACCACCACGGTAAAAAAAATATACATCGCGGGCCCGCGGTCCTTTAAGGCCCTGGGGAGAACACTGCTGTGATAATAGTTAATTTTTTTGTCGAGCCTGCGACTTCTGTTGCAGAAAGCCCGACATAGGGATAGTGATCCAGCGGCAGCGTTAACTAACTACTGAAATGCTTCATATTTTAGAAGGTGGAAGACCTGGATGCTTCATACTTTGTATATAGATGCCTTATGTTATGAAGATTTCGTCTGTCATATGTCCATG